TAGCCGAGACAACTGTTGTCTCCTGCAACTACTTCTGAGAACCGCTTCCTAACATTAGATTTAGCAGCCTGACATTTTTCTTTTAATCATGTATATTCCCGACCTCAATTTCTCCCGCACCTCGTCTTCCATCTTCATTTTTATTTCTCCGTTGTTGTTGTCGAGGCTGTCGCGTCTCTGTCGGCGGGAGCTGCTTGACGGGGCGCTTTCATGACGTGTCACGTGACACCAAAGGTTTGGGAACCTCACGCAAGTTACGTTGCTACGGCAATCGTATTGTAATTTGTAACCTTATAAAATATGAAAATAGACATTCCCAAATATTTAATATAGGCTGGAAATTGCAAGCAACATACATGGATAAAAAAAAAATAATAAAAACTTAATGACCCGCCCCAACCCGCCCCTCAAATAAAGTGACAATTTCTTTATCCGCCCCAACCCGACCCGCGGGTTACGAGTCGACCCGTGCATCACTAACAACTATGTCTATCTGTTTTTATTAAAAATATAAATTCATTAAAAATACTATTTGGCCAGTGGAAAAGATTGAGAAAATCTTTCTCTGAAATGTATTTTACACTATTTGATTTATTCATTTAAAACAAGGCAAGGATATAGGCTACAAAAAAATAATAATAATAATTTATTGTGACACGGCACATCTGTATTTCATATTTTCCTAACGTACGTGGGGATGCACAGTCCGCCGAATTTTTACTTTCCACAGCACCCTGTGAATCTGAGCCCATTTGGAAGGTTACTGTTCATAGGCAGCATGGATCATCCTGGAGGACACCTTGCAGTGGTTCTGTTCCTGTTTGTTCTGGTTTCTATGTCCACTGAAAATAACATTATCAGGTGGTGCACAGTATCTGATGTCGAAGAGCAAAAGTGTTTGGATCTAGCTGGGAATGCCACAGCCAGGAACAGCCGTGTACAACTACTGTGTGTGAGGGGCCGAAGTCCAACGGACTGCATGAAGCAAATTAAGAACGGCACTGCAGACGCCTCAACTATGTATGCTGATGAGATCTACACGGCTGGATTTTGCTACGGCTTAGATGTAGCTGTGGGAGAGTCCTATAATGGTGTGGATGGCATGAATTATTACGTGGTTGCTCTGGCACGGACATCATCAAGTGATCTGTCATTGCTGGAGATGCACGAGCGCAGTTCCTGTCACCCAGGGATGCGGACTACAACACATCACAGATCAGTGTGGATGAGCAGTGCAACTTTCCCCATGCGGTAGGGGATTTTTTTGGCTATAGCTGTGTCCCAGGAGTGAAGGACCCAGAACATGATCCCAAAGGAAACAACCCAAGGAACCTGTGTGAGGCCTGCATTGGTGACGAGAATGACCGTCACATCTGCGCCAACAACCCTCGGGAACGGCACTACGGGGAGGCTGGAGCTCTTAGGTGTGTGGCAGAGAATCTCGGGGATGTTGCTTTTGTTTAGCACACTACAGTCTTCGACAACATGCAGGGTAAGAACCAGGAGTCCTGGGCGCTGGACCTGGAGCTGGAAGACTTGAAGCTCTTGTGTCCTGACGGGAGTGAAGCGAACCTGTTCCAGCATGAGCGCTGCCACCTGGCCGAAGTGCCAACCAATGCTTTGGTAGTACGTTTGGAGGACAAATGCCGCGTTTACAAGTTCTTGGAACGTGTGCAGAATGCATTTGCTAATGCCACTGAAGGATTCTCTTTGTTCAGCTCGGTGAATTATGGGCAGCCTGATGTGCTGTTCAGCGATTCCACCAAAAAGCTGCTGCGTGTTATGGGGACCTACTTCCTGGCTGGGGCCCAGTTACACCACTATTCTGAAGGCGTTTGAGTGTGAAGGTTGTGTTGATCTGATGAGGAAAGAGGAAACGCTCTCACACTAACCCTAAAGCACTCTGTGTAAGGTGTGCTACTCTCGTATATGGGCTGAACAGCAAGCTCTTGCCTGTGTTTTGTAGTACTGTTATTACTGTTCTGTTCTCGCTGTCTTTGTATGGCTTCATTCTATCACATTTTCTTCACTTCTTTGCCGCTAAAGCTAAGTTCCTGCCATGTGAAAAATACAAAAATAAGCACAAAAAGACCTAAACTTCTATGCAGAAAAGAACTGGAGGGAAACGCACCGCAAACCATGAAGGGTGTTTGCCTTGACCGTTGTTAGTTAATCCATGCCATTCTTTAACCGAGGGATGCAGTTTTCTGAGCACAAAATACATTCAGGGCCAAAGCATACTCTACGCAAGTACATGAACACAAATGATTTTAGTTAAATAAGTTTGATTTCACATGTTATTGTTTTTTTTTTTTTATGCATCAGACTAAAAGTATGTGTTGTATTCAGTGTTGCTGTGGCTGAAATTAGTGTATTTTACAGTATGTTTTCTATTTCAGATCAACTATGTATCTGGATAATGTCATGTCTATTTTAATGGCACAGACTATAGAATTTAAATACTGAATGCAAGAAAACATTCAGTACACTCTGCAAAAAAAAGTGATTTTCTGAAAAATCAAGATACATGAGAAGGACTTGAGATATTAAGTCTTGCTTTCTGAAAAAAAAATATGAAAAATAAGTGACTTTAAGCTTGAAACGGGACAAAGATCTGCCAATGGGGTAAGTAAAATAAACTAAATTCAAAGAGAAAACTGTGTTTTTTTCATACCCCATTGGCAGATATTTGTTGTTGTTTCAAGTATAAACTCACATAATTAGGATTTTTTTTTTTTATATTTTCCAGAAAATTAGTCTCAAGTAATTTGATGTAACTTGGACTGGAAAACAAAAGAAAAATATTTTTTTGCAGTGTCCATATTCAGTCACATCTGAGTTTGTGTACTTGCGCATTATATGTTTCTGACTGCTTCATAATGACTTTTAACTTGAATATTCATATTCTTTGTGTATCTAAAACTAGCAGAGTGCAGGTATCAAGGAATTAAAAATGAGAGGATATAAGTACATTTATTACATATATAGATACTCAAAGTAGCACATAATAGGACGTTAAAACTCTTAATGGTGGACAGATTTATGGTTGGTTGTTACATAACAGGTGCTTTAACGGTGCTGTTTCCTGACCCTTCAAGGTTACAAAAATACCAACTTGAACTACTGTGTAAATAGTCATGTCACTCTTAGATTTATAGAGCCTTCACTTATTCATAAAAATCCATGTTGTCAAAAAAAATAAAAAATAAAAATAACGTCTTGTACGTTAACATGGTATCACGTGGATGAATGATCACATGCAAATGATATGCAGATGAGGATGTGCATAGTAAAACTAGGCGTTGTAAACATATGGTTATTTCGGGGAGGAGACGCATGTGCTTCCGCTGACTGGGATTTATAAAGGGAATTCTGCCCTGGTTCTGGCGTACGCACGGTTTTATAAATCTGAATATTTTTTGGCGTACGCCATTTTTGGCTTTCGGGCGCACATACACTTTTAGTAAGGATCCTACGCACAGTTTTATAAATGAGACCCCTGGACCGGAAGCGATGCGACCTTTCACAGAATGCGGAAGTAAGTTGTGCATAGACAAATATGAAATTACTTCAATTAGAACAAAATTCCTAAGATATCCAATTCGTCCCAAATTTAAGGAAGTACATTTTAAAACAATAAATAACATATATCCCTCTAATGAGTTTATAAAGAAAAGATTTAAATTGGAAGTAGACAATTGTCATATCTGCAATATTTATGTTGAAACAACTGAACACCTGTTTTATGAATGTCAAATGGTTCAAAATTTATGGAAATCTCTTCACACCATGTTGTCCTCCAGTTCCATAAACATAGATTTCCTTTCATATCAAAATATTCAGATGGGTGTAATTCTACAAAATAAAAATGACGAATTTTTGGTCAATAATCTAATTATAGCTACAAAATATTATATACATAAATGTCGATTTGCTAAGTCCTTCCCCTCATGGTCTGCATTTAAAAACGAACTTTTGCTGTTTCAAAAGGTTGAGAATGCCCAGGCTAAGAAATTGTATAACCGTTTAGTGACACTTGAGTTGAGTCCCTCTATTTTCTTTTTTTTTTTTTTTCTTTTTATTTATTTATTTATTTGTTAGTTTTTTGAGCTCCTTAAGTCTATTTGTTCTCCCTTGTCATGCGATCAGTGCAGAGGATGTCTTTTTGGGAGGTGTGAATCTTGATTTGTAATACATTAATATTTTTATTGTACATTTTGAGATTGTCATACGCGCTTTCTTTGTTGGATTTCTTTATTGTTTGTTGTAATAAGTAAAAGTTCAATAAAAAATAAAAATAAAAAAAAAGTTGTGCATAGAGATATTGCGTCATTTACGGGGGGGGGACTGGTGGGACATGTCTCCACCACTTTTTGCCAGGGTCGATTTTTTTGAGTAACCCCAGAGTGCACTCTGGACGATGGGGTGGGGCGACACTTTTGGGTGGAGCGACACGTGTCGCCCCGCCCCTATTTTCCTGTTCCCGCCTTTGCCATTTTCTTCCGACCCCCTAGGGGGCAGTTTGAGATGAAAGGCAACGGCGGCGTAGCATTAACGAACAAACGACACTCCACGTTGATTGCCACTGTCTATGGTTTATTGCGATTCTAAATGGTGAGTTAAGATGTTTCTGTAGATTTATAAAAATATATTTGAAGAGTTCAGATGCAAAAGCCTCTAAATGCCATTTGAAATTTTCTTCTAGAATGATCATTTTTATCAAGCTTGTATATTTAAGTTCAGTGATTTCACTTAAATGGCAATGAGATTACCTATTAATTGTTATTTAAGTGAAATTACTGAACTTAAATATACAAGTTTGACAAAAATCATCATTAAAGAAGAAAATTTCAAATGGCATTTAGAGGCTTTTGCATCTGAACTCTTCATTTAAAAATGTACCATGATTTTCGTGAATCAAATCTGGAATAGTTGCTTAACCATATCCCAGTGTCTTTCAAATGATATGATTAAAATGTTCTTTGTTTTTTCCTTCTTAGATTGTGAGATTTCTATATTATTTTCACAAACATGGGGCACCACACCGTCATAACCAGAGAAAAACACGATGATTATATGAAGTCCACTCGGAAACTGTGCCCATTTTGTGGCTTTACGAACTTTATTCCGCATATGGTACATGTCCATGTTCGTAGACATTTTGAGACTGCAGTAAGATACAGAGGTTTGGTTTTCCAAATTGATGATTTGTATTAATTACTATAACCATATTAAATTAAATTCGCTTAGTAATGTGCTTAGTTCATTCATTTTCAGATTTCTTCATTGTCAAATGCAGCAACCAGTGCCGAGAAAAGGCACATTTTCACTGCTGCTTTTGTGAGAAGACAATTATTAATAGGTCACAATTAATGACCCACATATTAAGCCATGAGCCTCGTGCTGAACCAGGGGTAACTTCAGACTTGCATATTGAGAATGTCATTATTAAAGACACAGGTAATTGAATCTTGAAGAACTTGCTCTGTTATACAATAGCAATATGTTTAGTTTTCTTAAAGCTGTTTATTTATATTAATTATGTTGTTTGAGATCGAGAACAATAAATTACTGAATTGTTAAAGTTTTAATGAATTAATCATTTCTCATTTTTTATGAATATTTGTTGATTGTGTAGTGGGTCTGAGCGTACAGGTAGCACAGAGGTTTGGAGCTGAATCTTGCACTAGAGAGAGCCCTGGATTGAAAGTGGAGATGTTTTGTGATGCAGCAAATCCCACATCAACAACTTCCACTTCTTCAAACAGAGGTTAGACTTCTTGACAAAAACAAAGTATCACATATTTGTTTGGCATAATCCTCTCCATGTAGAGTAATCTGTTCTATCTGGTAATATCTTTATTGCTTTATAAGAATCTCTTCCAAACAAGAAGACCAATATCCAAATGGATAATAGGAACAAACCAGCAGCTACACCTGAATCTGAACATCAGTGTGGAAATGTCAAGAGTTCTACAGGTAACTGACTTGTAAACTTGTGCTTCTTAGGGTTGCAGTGGTATGAGATTTTCACAGTACAAAAACAGTTTCAGAAATTATCGTGGTTTAATGGTATATGGTCCTGCTCAATCAAATGTGAGTCATTTTTAAATATTTTATGTTTTTAAAAATTGTTTGCCATTGGATCATTTTTTTACTCTGATAACAATAAATATTATTATTTATACTTGAGTAATTATTTCTATTAGTCCTTTTACTTTAGTACAGCAATTGTGTGATAAAAGTGACATAATTTGAGACTTTTTGCTTTATTTTTGACTAGATATATCAAAGCTCATCACAGTTTACGGATGGAAGAGATGCAATAAATAGTGTTTAGTTGGGCATCTACTGAAAATAGCATAGGCTAGAACATTGAGCTCAGGATTTAAGATTTGAGCAATAGTACATTACAGTACTGTAAATAATCATAGTGTGAGATATAATTCTTTTAAGCATGAAACTGTCATACTGCTGCAACCCTAATATAATATACTGTATAAAGGTTAGTATGCACAGTGATCTGAAAACATTAGTCACATTAAAGTGCAGTAGTAAAGACTGAACTTTAAACATGTTGTTTCAAGCAACTACTCCAGTAGAAGAAGGAAAAGGTCTGAGGACTGCTAATCTGAAGCCTAATACAGTTGTGTGTGTGCACTGTAATTTGACATTATTAAAAAACAACTTAAGAAAGCACATCCAAAGACGCCACACTGAATGCAGGGAGACTGTATCATCCAAAAGGTATTTAAGATGCCAGTGTGTTGATGGCAAAAATTGAATTTTTGCTGTTGAAAAGTCTTTCCATGGTGCATCCACTCCAATCCATGTCCTGAAAAATACCTGGGGAGAGTCACAAAGGTCTGAGTGTGAATTGGATGAGTGCTGTGTTACCAGAGACTTTGCCCACAGAAGTGGTATTTTGCCATTTGAGTGTGACCACTTCCTATTGTCCACGTGTTGATCAAATACAGACTGATCTTGCAGAAGAAACATTGTGTATGATGGTTGACCAGAAGTGGTTTGGAGAAGCAAGGAAACCCCAATTAATTGATTTGAAGAAGGAATCACTGGCAGAAGGAGTTCCATTGTCAGTGTCTGTACAAATTGGAGACCAACTCAACAAATTGCATGTGTCTGTGTTTGAAAAAAAACGCTCATATTACAGCAGACTTGGCAGAGTAATGGTCTCGTATGATGTTAAGAAAAACTCTTGGCACTGTCCTTGCTCAATGCCAAGGAAATCGTGTATTCACAAGGCTATTTCAAAGTGGCATCTCTTTCACCATCAGAAAGACTTGTTCAAGAAGGTAAAAAGTGTGGAGGAAGTTCCTCCTGAATCACCTGAAGGAAAAAAAGATGACCACAACAACAGCTATCCACCATCTGACTCAAACATCAAAGAAATGATCCACTACATGATGGCACACAAAAAACTTCCCAGTGAGCTTCCCAAGACATTACTAGATCATTCCAGAGATTTGAAGTCCAACCAGTGCCTTCCAAGGCATCTGGTGCCCACAGAATTAAAATGTATCAACTGCACAGCTGAAAGCTTAAGTGATCCAAGACTCATCACAAAAGATGCCAAGATAGTGACATTTTCTGGTGTAATCCAAGGTATGGTTATTGTAATATTACATTAACATGTGCTTTCAGATATTTTTATGGATATTTTAGATTCATGCATTTATTTACTTCTTTAGGCATATCTACTTACTACAGACAGTGCCCAAACTGTGAAATGGTATATAGGTACCAAGAGTGGTCAGATGGAATACATAATTTCAATGACCACATTCTTTTGTCATTACATTTGTGCATGTTCCTAAGAAACTCAATACAGGTATGTCACAATCCCAATGCGTTGTTTTCCTATGAATTTTTCAAGTTGCTGGGGGTTTTTTTTTCATTCATTCATTCAATGTATTTTTTTAACTTGTTTAATTCCAGAATAGTACAGCAGTAAGTAGGGTAATGGAAACATTACATTCAATTGAAGGTGGGCCTTTTCCTAAAAATGAACTTGTTTTACAAGCCTATTTGCACTTTGAGGCCATGACAGAACTGGATTATCATTACAACTGTGTCACTTGTGGGCACTACCCAAGTGTAGTCGTCATGGATCTACACAAGAAGGGAGCCTTCGGCATGCCTGGTATGTTTAAACATTTATTGTTTGATATATTTAAAAGTTTATTTATAACTATAGTTTCTTAATTTATTCACAAAATATGTTTATCCAATCACATCCACATTTTAAAGGTTTTTTTTTTATTTGTATTTGTATTTACATTTTTTCATAATCCTATCATTTCATAGGCATAATTGCATTCATGCATGAATTGAAATGTAAGTTAATGTAATATAGCCTACTTTTAAATACTATAGTCTTTGTTTCATTTTATTAATTTATTGTAGTGAGTGAAATTGACCCCCCTCCACCAAATTATGATGGCTGTGTGGATATTGAGAAGTTTTGGGAGGCAGTAACAGTAGAGATGATAAGCCGAGGTTTTTATACAAGTATGTCTCGCGTCACTTTCCAGATATAAAGCCTTTTATCTAAGTTTCTTTCTTTAACCACAGTTTAACTTCTTTCTCTTTTATTATTAGGTGGGATGAGGAACCCCTTAATTGTGCCCCCAAGCTACAGCTTTTGGGCGCCATGGATTGGTATTCATACCAGATCATCCAACAACGTTCTCAACACAGAGGGTGCTTCTCATTTCTTATTTGTGCATCCTCGTTTCCTTTCCTTGTTTCCTTTCCTTGCGTCTCAGCTCCACCCCCTGTAGGACGCGAGGGAAGGAAGCGAGGAAAGGAGGACAGAGGAATCGAATAAAAGCTTTTTTATATACATTGGAGTACTTGATCACTCGAGCGTCTCTCCACAGTGTCATCAGCAGCGCTAAAAGGATCTGCCCTTATGATGTTGAAGTTTGGTTATTTAATAAATTCATAATAAATAATAATAAAGATAGGCTATACTGTTGAAATATCTGAGATGTGTGGTTTATATAAACTGCAAAGGTAAAGTATAAATTAAAATGATTGTGACCGATGTAAAGTGGGAGGAGAATTGACACGTGCGTCACGTTTAGTCAATATAACGGTTCCGCGTAGGATGCACCTGTGTATCCTCGCTTATGACTCCTCAGGAAGCCTCCTATCTCCTCGATCCTCGACTCCTCACGGTGCAATTAGAGAATTGAGATGTCCTTCAAGATGGCTGAGCTCGATCGGTTTCCGGGTCATAGGAGGGAGGACGGAGGAGCGAGGAGACGAGGAGGGATATTGAGAAGCACCCAGAGTACGCTAAGCTTCATGTGTCACAAGACTCATCTGAGGATGACGTACCACTTACAGAAGAAAGGCTTGCAGATGAGCTGCTAAATATCCGGGTATGGTTTGTTACATCACAACAATATATTAATTGAGATGTTTTGTTCTGTCATGTGTAATAATTTTGTTGCAATCTTTCTTTTTGGCTAGGTTGAAGAAATAAGGGCCCTTTGTATGGGATGTGGAATAGATCACAAAGGTTCTAAAATGGATTTAATTATCCGACTAAAAGAGAGGATGTCAAATAGAGTCACCTACAACAAGGTTTTTGAAAAAGTGTGGGGTGCATCTGGTAAGTCCGACTGTACAGTTATGTATTAGGGAGGCATAAAAGTATTGATATAACAGTTCTTGTTTACATAATCATTTTGCTGTTCAAATTGAGGTGATGTGATTTTTGTCAATTTTAAGATCTCTGATTATAAAACTGTATAAAGATTGACAAATTGAGTATTCATGGATTATGAATTGACATGTCTTTCACTTTAGGTGGCTGGGCTGTTATAACCTGCCCTTGTGGGGTTGTGTACTCTGTGAAATTTAACATCAGAGCAGAGAGCCCTCGTGATTATGCTGATCTCCTGCTTTCATGGAAACATGTTCCCAATGTTGCCGTCTACGACTTCCCAAGGGGACTAGCCTCTCATGCAAACCATCGTTCAAAGAATTTATTTAATCCTTTTGAGGGTCGATTATTGGAACCATCTGAAGAAAATATCAAGAAGGCATCAGAAAATGACTTGAAAGTCAGTTTGCCATGGCTTAACCACAGGAAAGAACCAGCTGATCAGGATGGTCATCCTGTTACTGGTTCATGTGAGCATTTTGTCTTGTCTGATGTGTTCCATCAGAACAACAGTAAGGATCCTAGGGATTCCTTGAGAAAGATTGGCCTTGTCCCGGAGCTTGCAGGAAAAATCAACAGTCAGAGAGCTGAGCAACTCTTTTCAGATATGAAGAAAAAGAACTACTTCCTTAACATGATGAAACCATCATCCCACATTTTCCTTGCAAGAAATATTTTGCACCATAAAAATGTTGCACGGAACAATACGGTTGTGAAGCAGTTAAGAAAATGTATAGATGATGACACGGAATTACAGTTTGATTGCAATGGAAAGATAATTTTGGGTAAAGTATTATCACTGTGTGTATGTATGAATATTTGTGTGTGTGTATGTGTATACCGGTATGTAAATAAATGTGTATGTATGCGCTTTTGTGTTTTAGGTGCAGCCGTGAATCCTCGATCTTCCAACACTGTTGATATTGCAGCATGCAGTCAAATATCAGGTATGAAGGTGCAGTTGTTATTGTTGGAAGATCAATCCTATTTGATAAAAAAATATTATATATTTACATGTATTTGTATTTTTATTACAGTGAGGATGTTTGTTTTTGTGTTTTAGGTGCAGCCATGAATCCTCAATCTTCCAACACTGTTGATATTGCAACATGCAGTCAAATCCGGTATGAAGGTGCAGTTGTGGCAAAAAGCTAAGACATCTTTGATTGAGATGAAGTGATAATTCATGTTGTTTATCCTTCTTTTTTTAAGCCACCATATGAAGAGCACACGTCACAGTGTGACAAGCCACAAGCCCTTCTGGGCAGTGGAGGACATGCTTCCAAACAAAGCCGTTTGGGGCAAACAAACCCCGCTTTCCGCAGGGTAAGGTAGCAGTCTCGAAAATTATATTGAAAACCGGATGCATTTGCATGCATCTGATAATTGTTTCCATTACAGGATATCAGTGTGTATGTTGCTAATTCTTACGTGGTAGCAACCTGGCTTCCGCCACTCTCTGGTTTCCCAGAGTTGTCCCTTCCGGTGAGTTCTGGAATGTTTTATTTTGTGGAAGATTTTACTATATCTGAATATAATTAACATTATAGTTCCTAGGCTCTGATATGTTTCTACATACATTTTAGGCTAATGTCGGCCAGACAGACCTTGTGGTTCTGCCTGCTTGGGTACCTGGCCACTGGCTGCTGTGTGTAAGTATTATAATTTATATGAGAACAAAGTTAACAGTAAGTTGTAATTTAAGCAACATCCAATAATCTAAAGGATAATTTAATGTGTACTAAACAATGTGCTGTTGAATTTAATTCATTTTGAGATTTTACAGCATTGCACGTGCATTTTACAGATTATGAAACCAAAGACAAGAGAAATGTATTTTCTCGATTCTATGCAACAAGCAGCATTTGGACCATACATTGACACTTTCAGGTTATAGAAATGTTCAGTATGTGTTCAGAGATTACAGTGGTTCTGTTTTAAACTGTAATCTTTTTTTTTATTTCTACCATTTTGTTCATTAACTTTTATTTTGTGTTCACAGGAATTTTTAGTGCATAACTGTTTTGCGTCAACAAACCACAGATATGACCCTTGTTTGCAAAGATAGTATATAGATATAAGATAGTATAATATAGATAGTTTAATTGACATTAAGGACTACATCTCTAAACAATGGGGAATTATAATTATTATTTTTTTTTTTTATTTTTTTTTTTTTACAGGAACATTGCAAAACTCATTGACAACCGAGAGTGGACAGAGAAAACTGCGATTAAATTTGAAGTGAAACATTTCATTTAAATGCAAACAAAAGTCTATTTCATTACACAATGTGTGCTGATGAAAGAAAATCTGTGAAGGTAAATGTATGTACTTGTTTTAATCCAAACCACAGGGAATACCCAAGCAGGCAGGTGGGAACAACTGTGGAATCTACATACTGATGGTAGGTTACATTTTAATTGTTATTGTAGTTAATTATTGTAAGTTATACCCTGCTCATTTTCTTGCACTTTGTGAATTGTAACAGTACACTCTATACATGGCTTTGGGGCTCCGATTTGATTTTTCAGAGGTATGTCATTACCTCATTACATATTTCACGTTAAATAAACAGACATCCATAATTGTTTATTATTATTATTATTATTTTTTAAATTCAGGATGACATGCCCCTGATCAGGAGGTGGTGGTGTGCTTTCTTACTGGACAACTTCACTCTGCAAATGTATGTAGCTGTTTGCATGTTCCTACATAAACATTAGTTTATACATGTACTATATCTACCAATGTACATGCCTACCTCTTGTCATTTTTTTTTTTTAGCGCTCAACCTTACAAAAGGCAATGTCTTTGGGGAGATTCAGACAAAGCAGGTAATTTATTGTACACACATTCATTAAGTAAGCAATTTCTTTGAATAGTTTTCTGGTAAAACTTCCATTTGTTGGTGAAACAATGGAGTTATTTGTCATTGTTCAAGACAGGCATGTTAAGGGAGGGCTTTAGTGAAGCGCTGCAGAGCTTCTGTCCTATCGGTGGAAACACAGTGTGATTTTGTGCTTGGTGATACAGGTCCAAGGCTATTAACACCGCCCGACCCTTGAAAGCCCTTGCTCGCACTGGCCCGACAGTGGGGAAAGCGGCTAATGTGTGTTGGAGCGATATTTATTTTAATATTATCTTTATAAGAGAAATTAATCTATTTATTTATTATTTTATTCAGAGCATGCAGTTATGACAACAGTATATCAGGTTTGTCTGAACCAAGGTTTATATTTTTTTCAACAACATTTATATACAAGTATAAATAATCATGTTTTTTGTTTCAACAGCTTCCCCATGAAATAATTTCCGAGATCCTCAAGGAAGTTGTTTTAGCAACTGGTGATTCTGCATGTTTGACACTTTCACTAGTATGCAGATGGTTTAGGGATGTGGTCACAGATGAATTTTTCCGGAAAGCAGCACACTTTGCCTGGCTAGACAGTAAGATGTTTTTTTCCTGTTCAATGCACATTTCTTGGATTGAAATTTGTGTTATGTGACATTTAAACTTGAATCTCCACACTTATACCTTTTCTGTATTTTGTCTTTACATTTTAAGGTGTGGTCAACTGGAAAAAATTTTCTCTGGACTACCGTGAAGAGTTTCGACGGATCTACAGCATCAGGGAATGCTCGGAATGCTTGGAGCTTTTCAAGTCCTATCCACCAGGGTACAGGGGAAGAGGAAAACGAGGGGAACTGCTGGGCTTTTACTCCGAAGATGTTTGTACTTTGCTCGCAGGACTGTTTCTTTGCTGCAGGAAATGAATTTCTGTGAAACTCAACTTGTACATGGGAATGTTTGGAGCCCATAATAAAGAAAAAGTGTCAGTCTTTGTTTTGTTGTGTTCTTAAGAGCATGTATAGATACTCCCTTATATGTTTATTATAGAACAACCATAATTATTGATTACATTTTTGTAAACGCACAAATACTATAATTACCATAGTTAATTTGTGATTACCATGACTTTTTGGAGCTATAATCCCGTATATGATCAGTGAAGTTTGACAGCCGTAAATGTAGTTAAAAAAAAAAGTTCGTAGGATCTAACGGAAACTTGTGGTTACTATCAGGTGAGACTAGTGACTTGTCCGGTGACATTTGCGCTCTCTCTCTCTCTCTCTCTCTCTCTCTCTCTCTCTCTCTATATATATGTATATATATATGTATGTATGTAGAGAGAGAGAGGGAGAGAGATGTCATTAACTTATTAACTTACAAAAAAACCTAATTCAGAGGTAACGAACCATCTAACTTACTACAGCTGTTGAGGGAGTGATTGTGAATTAGACCATTATTTCTATTCTCTTCTACTTCAATGGAATATTGTGGAATCGCATTAATGACCGCAAAATCAACAAGTTTATTCGTCTGTTGTGTTCTTCCGCATTCCCAGCCTGCCCAAAGCGTCACACTTTTTTTTTTTTTTTTTTTTTTTTTTTTTATTGTTGACAGCATTTGCAAATACAAACAACACATTGAAATACATACATAAATAAATACATAAATAAATAGATAAATAATAAATAAAGTACATACATGAATAAATTATATCCAGGGGGGTCTGCAAAGTCCAGCAAGGCTAATCAACAAGCAGTCCAATTCATAGCATACCATATAGTTATGAGTTCCAATTTCATTCACTTACACATGTCACAAGTTTTGAGTATATCTGCAACGTCTTCAGAGCTTTACAGTTCTTTGAATATCTTATGGAGTCCAAGTATTCATTTACTTCACTCTCAAACACAGGAAAGAAGGGTTTAGAGCCCCTGAACTTACATTTATGGATGTGATATTTAGCGAGTAGAAATAAAAGATTAATAATAAAATACTTTCCTTCCTTGTCCGTCTTAAGGTCAACCACACCAAAGAAAACATCTTTAAAGCAAAATGAGAAATCCGTAACAAAAAAGGTTTGGATGAATTCAAGGACATCTGACCAAAATTTTTCTGTGTATGAGCATTTCCAAAATAAATGGCAAATATCTTCATCTGACCTTTTACAGAAAGAGCAATCAGATTCAATATCTGGTTTATACCGCTTAAGCACACACTTTACTGGTCCAAAGCGTCACACTTCTCTGCACCAATAATCTGTAATAGCGTCACACTTCTCTGCACCAATAAGATCATCTTTATTATAAACCAATAAACGTTAAGGTGGGCGGGGCGACACGTGTCGCTCCGCCCAAAAGTGTCGCCCCGCCCCATCGTCCAGCGTGCACTCTGGGGTACTACATTTTTTTTGTCCCCACCACTTTTGAAACATCTCGCGGCACAGATGTACCAATACAAATAAAACATCCCCAGTTAACAGCATTCGTTTCATTTGTTTGTTAAATAACAGGCGATCTAGCACTGAAATGTGTTGTCTTCTCTCGGAAACGCGCTTCAATCCGTTGCGGAGATTCGTTCCGGTGAAATCACAAATCAAAATGCACACAAACGTGTCCCTGTTTCTCATGGGTTCTAATCCGCTCTCGTATATTTTTTTTCCCTCACCATACAACCACTGATAAACATTATATCAATTCAACCACTGATAAACATTATTGAATTTGATGAGGGGGAAAAAAAACCTATACGAGTGCGGATTAGAACCTCGAGTCTCGACACGCTAGGCAAAAATGCTACCACTGTACCATCACTGTACGTATGTAATATAGGGCGTATATACTCTGTATACTCACTATACTCGGACATTGTGCTCATTTTATTTATGTATATGAGGAAGCTACAGGACATCGTCTTTCAAAACATGACCTACTCGAAAGAGAAAATAAGAATGAATGCGTTATTGTACCCAGCACTTTTGAAAATGCCCTTCCGAATATGTCTCTCTCTGTCCCCAGCACATTTCAAACCAAACTGACGCCCATGTCTGAGTGGATCTAGTCTCAGCCTCAGACGTCACGCCCACGGAACGTTGGCTAAACGTCTGATGCATATGGTACACTTAACTGGAAACACTTCAGGAATGTCGAAGTCGTCATCTGATTGGTTGAATTTTATCGGATTTCCGGGGGGCGTCAGTGTCGCGTTTATTTTCGGTCCGCCGGGAAACAAAGCGCAGATGTGATTGCGGAAGAAAAACTGTTGTGTTTATATGAGTGGCCTATGTGAGTGACAATGAGCATTTCTCAAGATCAGCTAAACGTAGTTGTATGTCCCCTCCTATCTATTATGGAAGATCAAGTGAAGTACTTAATTGCGAAGGGTATATCAGCTGCGTTTGTGGACAAACATGAAACAGACGCTGACATCGCAGCTGGCCGATTCAGTATTCATATATAGGTCGCGCACACTGGATTATAAGGCACATAAGATACTGCAGAGTCAAACGTTTGACTGGGTTTGTGTTATGCATCCACTAGATGTGCTAAACTAAAGGCTAAAGGGAATGTAGCGAGTGCGCGGCGCCGGAGGTGAGGCGTTTATTTAGTAGGCGTGAGCGCACTGGGGCGGGGACGTAACTTACATTCGTGTGACAAAGCGGACATAAGATGGACATGAGCGAGTTCGTGGGTGAATTTAATAACACGGAGCGTTGTTAGCGCCTCCGGTGACTGCTGACTGACTTGTTGCACACCGGTCTGTTGTTGTGGGGACATTTCCACGCCCCGAAACATGACGCTGAACGAAGCGAACTGTAATTGGTTGTTTGACATGTCGGTCTAACGGCCTTATGGGCGGGCCTTGACCAAAGAAAGCTGCTATGAATTCCAGACCTTCAGCCGTCAGTCTGAAGGTCTGGCTACGCGAGACTAGAGTGGATCTGACAATATGACTCTGTGCACAAGACAAGTGCTAACTTCCGCCTTGAGGGCGGATGTTGGGTACTTCGGTTCCGGTTGCCGTTGTTTACATCCTACATCAGTGGACCGGCTATCTAAAGCTTAGCTATCTAAATATATTTGTCTAAAACTATGTTCGTTTGTTCATTGTCAAGTCAACCAACACAGTTTTCACTCATATTTGGGTGGAGCCAGGCGCTGCTACATTGTGAAAAGTAAATGATATTTCACATTTTGTCACCGCACCCAAGCAGTCGCTTTACAGAGTGGAGCGTTGCGTATCCATGACAACTAGAAGGAAGTTTTTAGGCTACTAATTATTTATTATATTATACCCTTTAACCAGGAGAAGCCCCTGGGTTTAGAACCCATTTTGCAAGAGAGACCTGTTTAGAAATGTGTGTGAACAGCCTAATATGTGTTAAACAGCCTATTTTGATAACGAACGAACCAACGTCGGATACCTTTACTCCCTGGTTGACATGTATAGTGGTTGTCAACACTGATCTATATTACATTCAATATAGATAGTGGTTGTCAACAACATAGCCTCTGAACATCATAAACAAAACAATGGCCAACACAAACTGTTCTGGAAAATGCACTTTCTAACGCATGATTTCGCATTTTATAATGTATAGAGATATAACAGTTACCAAATCGCATAGCTTGAGTAGCATGGCAACATTAATGTCCGAGTGATTCCACGTGCACATTCCACATTTCTGCAGGCGGTACACGGTGAGAATACACTTTAGGACAATATAACGGTAAACTAGTTTTCAGTCCATTGAGTGCAAGGATAAATTAATACCAAATACATTTCCAAATAAAGTAAAATAAAAGGTATAACAGCTTATCTTGCCTCATGCGCTATTTTTCCTCCTCAGTTTCCCACAAATAAACAAGGAGTAAGCACCTTTGGCGTTAGAAATTATTACAAATGCGCGTGAGCGCCGTAAGGTCCGCCATGCTGGTTTGTTTACATCTAGGTAGTTTGGCGTGAATGACCTGGAATGCTACAAAGTCGTAAGTCGTGGTTTGAGGTCGTGATTTACGTGCTCAAAAACCTGCCTGGAACGCAGCATAAGTTGTAAAGAGTTCCTAATGAGAATATTTGGGCAAACCACATCCTAATTTCGAGGAAAGACCTCAGTGTACATCAATTTCTGTGAAAGCATGTTTTCATACAGCATTGCATTCATCATGGCTGAAAACCCCCCACAGATAGACCACAGCATGACAAATGATGCAATAAGCTGATCTTGTTCATATCAGTCCATTTGCAGACTGGATTCCCTTCTTTATCAATGAAAAGATTAATGGTTCCATCTTTCCCAGTGTTTTGCAAGACAAAACGAGAACAGGCTCCGATTTACAGCTGAGATTGAAATAAAATATACCGCAATAATTCTTTGTGGTACTTTCAATTCTACAAGTGTCCATGGTTTGTTTTTACCTGAGAGAGAGAGAGAGAGAGAGAGAGAGAGAGAGAGAGAGAGAGAGAGAGGCTACTGAATAAAACCACTAAAACAATATTGTGACAAATTCAGGATGAAGGACAGTGTAACATTTGCTGATAGCCATCAATGTCATTTTCTCAGATTTATGCTGTTTATTCTATATATGTCACAAACAATGTTTGCATACAAGGGTGTTGCGTCTACTTTGAGCACTTTTATGTTTCAATCAGGTGATTAAACAGATTTTTCTTTATATAATGGTCATTAAAACTTTCATCATGCCTTCATCAATTATTTTTGCTATTTTTCAGATGTAAGAGTTTACCAAAATTGGACAGTTGAACACTGGAAAAATGTTGCCTGGTCTGATGAGTCTTAATTTCTGTTGAGACATTCAGATGGTAGAGGCAGAATTTGGCGTAAACAGAATGAGAACATGGATCCATCATGCCTTGTTACCACTGTGCAGGCTGCTGGTGGTGGTGTAATGGTGTGGGGGATGTTTTCTTGGCACACTTTAGGCCCCTTAGTTGTTTAAATGCCACGGCCTACCTGAGCATTGTTTCTGACCATGTCCATCCCTTTATGGCCACCATTTACCCATCCTCTGATGGCTACTTCCAGCAGGATAATGCACCATGTCACCAGATCTCAACCCAATAGAGCATAATTGGGATGTGGTGGAACGGGAGCTTAGTGTCCTGGATGTGCATCCCACAAATCTCATCAACTGCAAGATGCTATCCTATCAATATGGGCCAACATTTCTAAAGAATGCTTTCAGCACCTTGTTGAATCAAAGCCATGTAAAATCAAGGCAGTTTTGAAGGTGAAAGGGAGTCAAACACAGTATTAGTATGGTGTTCCTAATAATCCTTTAGGTGAGTGTATATAGCACTTTTCACGATGGACATTGTTTCAAAGCAGCTTTGCAGTAAAAGATCCTCATTTAACGGTTCAATTATTGGACTGAATTGAATGTTTTTCCACAGAGCCAAAAGTGTGCATAGAATCACCAATAAACAGTCAGTAAAGTCTTATTAATAAACTGGTTAATATAAAAGAGGCATCTGTTTGACTGACACAACCATTAGTTTCTTTTCTGAACGCTATCTAAAAGCTGTTTTTGTCTCCGTTCCAAAAGAACAAAACGCTTTCTCCCCCAATCGACTGAAACAACCAGCCTGGAATATCGCTGGTTGTTCCTCCGTGGACAGCAGATAAAAACCTATCAATCTTAGCTTTTGTCCGCTTGCCAAAGTTTCCATTATGACACAAAACAATGTGCTGGTTTGTTTGTTCTTCAAACCATACAAAAGCTCACAAAAAGAACCAATTTCCTTAGGCTGTCATCAATGAGAAACTCTATTTTTTTTTGCTCCATGCATTTAGAAATACAAAACAGAAAAGAGAGGACTCATTATCATGCCTGTCCTGTAGAATTAAATACACCTGAACACTTGGGACAATGCTGGATTCGAAATGAGAAACAAAATGAGAAAGGATACTAAAAAAGATATATAGCCTACTACACTCATGCATAAAGCATGCATCTGGTGTTCACTGGATCCTAATGACCAACATGAATATAAAAATATATATATATATATATATATATATATATATATATTATATATTTAGAAAAACAAAGCAAAATATTTTATTCGAGAACGGGTTTAACTGAGCACTCAATAACTGATAAAGCTTTATACATCACATGTTTAAGTGTTCTTACATATTTAGGTCTGATCATTGCATCTACCTCAACTTCCATAGACACTCAAAATGATATGCAAATGAACTGTAAATTAGCTAAACTGTGGATCTGCCAAGTTTCCAACATTAATAGTAATCAAAGATGATGAATGGGACTAACATTGCTTTGAGTAGCACATAAATCCCTAAACTGTTTTTGAAGCAGAAATTTTGTTGTCATTTATTGGCCCTTTAAATTAGTGAGGACATTTAATCATTATGCAAATTGGGAGAAGAAATAAATAAAACATAGGAACAAAACACATCATACAACTTCAAATTATTCAAGCGTTGGATGTTTCAATTAGGAAACCTAAATCACATTAGAAACTGTTCATTGGACAGCAATATGGCCAGAGAAATTATGATTTTTTAATTTTTTTTTAGAAAGATCTATTTGAGTTATCTTGGCTATATCAGCCCTTCAACCCTGGCATTTGATCACCTTTGTGGCAGATAATTACAGGAAATCATGCGGTATCATACATCAAAATAATGCAGTTTCAGATGTGGTTTTTTCAAACTCTGTTAAAACACTTCGGAGAATGAGCTATGAATAAAAAACAAAGAAAAACTAATTGTCTTATCTTGTCAGTTTAGTGTAGAATAAATAAAACAGAAATTTCAGTTTTGAATTGAAAATATGTGATCATGATTCATGTCATTCATAAATGAATGCGACGAGACAAGAAACATTTGCGTTTTTCAACATATCAGACATTAAAATGAATAAGAGTGAACAGGTGCACATTTTAAAATAAAATATTAACTGGCAAACAGTTTAAACTGATACTTCATAACTACAATTATAGAACCATTCGCCACTTATTCCCTTCAATCCCTTTTAATCCTTAAATTATTTACTTCATTTATTATTTATAAATGAATACATCTTAAAATAAAAAAAGTCATCAATAATCATGTGAGTTTTGATATAAAATGCAATGACATTTAGAAATGTTTAGAGAAAAGAAGTATTTCTAGCTATAACAGTTGATTAACCTCACAATCACATGAAACTACTCTAAGATTATGATGTAAACCTATTAAAAATTATAGCATGATGAGATTTATTGACTGTCATTACTCGACCATCTGCTCTTTTTCCTATGTTATGCGTGATGATGGAAAGTAACAGAATGGGACGATGAATATTTGCTGTAAAAAATACTACTAACACTATTTTTAAAGGGTTAGTTCACCCAAAAATGAAAATTAAGTCATTAATTACTCACCCCCATGCTGTACCAACCCCGTAAGACCTTCATTCGTCTTCGGAACACAAATGAAGATATTTTTGATTAAATTTGAGAGCTGTATAACTACCACATTGGCTCCTGAGGGACTGCCTCTTGACGGCCCAGAAAGTCAATGAAGAAAATGTTTAAATATCCCAAGTGACTACCGTGGCTCAACTATATGTTTATCAAGCGACGCGAATACTTTTTGTGCGAAAAAACAAACAAAAATAACGAGTTTATTCGACTATTTCTTTTCTTCCTTGTAGGCCAGAAACGAGATTTCCTTAGATTTCCACGACGCATGCGCGAGAATTGCGATCTGCTTTACACTACTTCAGATCGCAATTCTCGCGCATGCGTCGTGGAAATCTAAGGAAGTTTCGTTTCTGGCCTACAAGGAAGAAAATGAATAGTCGAATAAACTCGTTATTTTTGTTTGTTTTTACGCACAAAAAGTATTCGCGTCGCTTGATAAACATATAGTTGAGCCACGGTAGTCACTTGGGATATTTAAACATTTTCTTCATTGACTTTCTGGGCCGTCAAGAGGCAGTCCCTCAGGAGCCAATGTGGTAGTTATACAGCTCTCAAATTTAATCAAAAATATCTTCATTTGTGTTCCGAAGACGAACGAAGGTCTTACGGGGTTGGTACAGCATGGGGGTGAGTAATTAATGACTTAATTTTCATTTTTGGGTGAACTAACCCTTTAAATATCAAATCCAAGTCTGACATATTAATACTCTTTCTTTAAAATCAGGAAGAGAAATAAAATAAATAAGAAACATTAAGCATTTCCCTCTCCATTTAAAACAAATCTAGGGAAAATGCCATTATTTAAAGAATTATTCAACCCATTATTAATAGAGGACCAATTTACAGATTATTTTTGTATGTAATGTAAGCTATGCATTCTTTATAAAGCCCTCAAACTAACTAAACAATACTAATCTTCCCTTAAACTCAAGGAGAGCTCATGTTTGTTCCCGCAGATGCACTGGATTTATAAGACTAATGGAGAGTGTCATTAAAAATTCATCTCATCTTGTACTCAAGTAGAGCACTGTTCAGAGATTACTTTAGACAAATTTCATAAATAATCTTTCACATTCAATGAAATCCTCTACAAGACATTTATTAGAATGGCTTTGCAGTACAACAGTTTGAATAAACATGACAGGGTTAGGGTTAGATGAAACGCCATAAGACTAATAGTTCAGACATTCACTTTACAGCTATAAAAAATAGGGTGAGGAGGATTTGACCCAGAATTTGTGTACAGTGGAATTGTCTCACTCCTTCCTGCGTTTCTTCTCGTGGTCGTAGTCCTTTGAGCGGCCACTAGTGGACGCCCTCTTGGAGCCTCCGTGCTGCTTGGCTTCCTCAAAGAACTTATCCAGACCGAAAGGATCCTCCTCGAACTGCACCGGGCCGCCGCGGCGGGGGCCATGGTCCGCACCCGAGAATACCCGATCAGGAACAAACCTGGAGAGAGAAAGGGAATCATTCAAGTGCGTGAACGAGGCGGCTATAATACAATAAACAAACGTGTCAAAGAGACCCAATACACATATGTTGTGATTCTAACCACATTCAGTCGGGCCTAAAGCAAGTTGATAAGATTGTAATGATATCCTTTGTATTTTAATTTAATATGTCTGATGCGTTTTTCTGTAGTTAAAATGCAGCTGTCTCCATACCTGTTGCTCTGCATGAGTGTGTCCAGGTCGTCTCCATACACGTCCTTATCCGCATTCTTCCCAGGCCTGTAGATATTCTGTGCCATGTCTCGGCCACTTCTGAAGGGCTGATCATACACATTATACATCTCATCCTCGCCACCGGCAAAACCACTGTCCAGCCCCTGAAACACACAAACAAACAGTGAGATTTATACCTCACAGCTGTGAAAAGTGCATCTTACAGTCATTTGTATTGATTTTTTAAAAACATTTTATAGTCAAAATATGTAAAACTAAAAAAATAAATAATAATATACACACTAGAGATTGCCAATAATTTCCCACGTTCTGAAAAATCATAATTTCTTTACCAATCAATACAAGTTCAATACATCAATCACACCAACAATACTCAAGTACTGTGATCAGTCCCAGTTAGTCTAGCACAGTACATGTAGAAAGGTTTTCTTTTTTAAAGAGATATATAGAATACTAAGTGTTAGTATTAATGAGTCTTCAGTCGTTTCTTATTAACATATTAATATGTTCCCTGCCAAACAAGGTCTAAGATTCATCAACAGAAAAATCACAGAGGCAGAAAAAGAAGGTAAAGGATTCTCTTGGACTTAACCACTTTATTTCATGCGTTTAATTGCGCACTTTAACATTACACTGATGAACTCAAATCAGTAAGGTGACCAATTTGAGATCAGCAAAGCCTGAGAGTTGATTACCTTGCTCTGATTGAAGAGTCGCTGGTCATACTGAGCCTCACTGGAGGTACGGGGGTTCGGTTGTCCCAGGGCAATGAGCTCACTGATGTCCCTGTCCTGATCTCTTTGTAGCTTCGACCTGGACGGACCAAAATTACACTGACATCAGCAAAACCCACGTTAACACCTCACACAAAGAGACATCACGCTGCATTACATGCGTCTCAAACTGGGAGTTCAGGGAATTCACAAACGAACATCTTTTGAGGAAAAGGCATGAATAATTCAAGCTATTACAACCACAGATTAAATACATTTTAACAAGCATGACAAAATGGGTCTGAATACGGGATGTGTCAAGTTTGTTTCACTAAAAGGTGCCTGATGTAAAAATGAACACCGGTGGGACTTGTGTGTGATCAGAGCGCAAAAAATAACGCAAAACTATGTACATTAAAATGGGATGTGTGCACTAGTTCTACCGGCCCATGAATGATTCAGGGCAAGTGTGTAAAAAATGCATGTACCTCTTATCAGGGGCGGCTCTGGAGATGTTCCTGTCGTGCTGCCTTTCTCTCCTCCTCTCGTGACGGATCTCATCACGCTCCCTGACTTCTGTCTCTTCACCACCTGAGAGAAAATCAAAGACATCCATGGTGATCTCACCAATAGTGACAGCACTCTGATGACTGAAACAAGGGCTGAGACCAAATCGTCTCCCTTTTCAATTTATCAATTAGAAAACACATTTAAAATAAATATGAACTTTAAACATAAAATGATTTCACAGAGATAGTTAAAATATCAAATGTTTCAGAAAAATACCACATATGCTGTGTATGATAACAAGTACAAGAGTAACACATTGACGTTCAATGATGGTGTGAACGTCTTCTTGTACTTTTGTCACCGTGGGATTTGACTCCAGCTCTCCAGTCTCTGGCCATCTTAGCCAACTTTCTCAGCTTCTCTTCTTTCTTTTCTTTTTCTTTCTGGGCCATCTTCTTTTCCACTTGAGCTCTCAACTCCACAGCCTCTCTGGCCTGTACACATCACACAACCAACAACATCAGCATAAAAATAAGTCAAAATATTTACCAGCTCTAGAAAGAACTTAATTATATTAAGGATTAGAATAAGGATCCTAAGGATAAGGATTTAAAATAATATCATAAGATCACCAAAGTGTTACATGTGTGTCCTGTGGTCCCCCATTATTTGTGTATTTGGTTCAGTCCTGTTTCTAGTTTCCCGCTCCTCGTTTGTATTCAGTCCCTTCACCTGTGTTTGGTTAATTTTGCCCCAGCTGTGCCTTGTTCCCCTAGTCTGTTCTAGTGTATTTAAACCCTGTGTTCTCCTCACTCCTGGTCCGTTCTCGTTGATGTATAGTGTGGTTACTGTTTCCCTGAATTATTTGATTAAATTCCTGTTGACCGGTTCTCCTTGTCTCCTTGTGCTTCCTGGGCACCACACTACCGTAACAGAAGAACGGACCTAAGATGCAGTATGGATCCCACAGACTTACTCCTCAACCTTACCCAGAATCATCGCTCTATTGAGATCTACGTCGAGGAATTCCTCCACCTTGCCCACCAGGTGTCCTGGAATGAGAGTGCCCTCAAGCACTCCTTCTGGATGGGTCTGGACGATCCACTCTTTAGGCAATTCCCAGCTATTGCCACCACGTGTTCCTTGAGTAAATATATTGATAACATCCTGTGGGTGAGTGGATCGTCCTACACCATCGAGGAAGTTTTCCCAGATCTCCCTTCTGTTCCTGTCTCCCCACTGTTTCCAGTGTCTCGTCCCACCGAGACCGCCCAGGGTCCAGAGCCTCGTCCTGCAGAGACCGTCCAGTCCGAGAGCGTCCAGCCTGAGCCCGTTGCCTGCCCGCCAGCGCCTGAGCCCGTTGCCTGCCCGCCAGCGCCTGAGCCCGTTGCCTGCCCGCCAGCGCCTGAGCCCGTTGCCTGCCCGCCAGCGCCTGAGCCCGTTGCCTGCCCGCCAGCGCCTGAGCCCGTTGCCTGCCCGCCAGCGCCTGAGCCCGTTGCCTGCCCGCCAGCGCCTGAGCCCGTTGCCTGCCCGCCAGCGCCTGAGCCCGTTGCCTGCCCGCCAGCGCCTGAGCCCGTTGCCTGCCCGCCAGAGCCTCAGCCCGTTGCCTGCCCGCCAGCGCCTGAGCCCGTTGCCTGCCCGCCAGCGCCTGAGCCCGTTGCCTGCCCGCCAGCGCCTGAGCTCCACGCCAGCCCTGCCGAGACTGAGCTCCACGCCAGCCCTGCCGAGCCTGAGCTCCACGCCAGCGATCCCGAGCCTACTCCGCTGGTCCCGTCCAGCACCGATCCCGAGCCTACTCCGCTGGTCCCGTCCAGCACCGAGCCCAAGCCTACTCCGCTGGTCCCGTCCAGTCCCAAGCCTATCCCAGAGAATGTTCCTGAGCCTGTCACTCTCCCCAAGAAAATTTTGGGGGGGGGATATAGGACTCCGCCATGGCCACCTGGAAAAAATAATCCACCCTGGGCCCCTGCGTTGCCTGATCCACCCTGGGCCCCTGCGCTACCAGCTCCGCCCTGGCCACGCCCTCAGCCTGCTCCGCCCTGGCCACGCCCTCAGCCTGCTCCGCCCTGGCCACGCCCTCAGCCTGCTCCGCCCTGGCCACGTCCACGTCCTGCTCCGCCCTGGCCACGTCCACGTCCTGCTCCGCCCTGGAGGCTTCCTGCTCTGGATAGGCCTCGCCCTGGTCAGCCTCCAGGGCGCCCACCCCCCCACCCCATTGAAGTTCTAAGGCGCGAGGTCGCGCCTTTTCGGGAGGGGGCGTAATGTTACATGTGTGTCCTGTGGTCCCCCATTATTTGTGTATTTGGTTCAGTCCTGTTTCTAGTTTCCCGCTCCTCGTTTGTATTCAGTCCCTTCACCTGTGTTTGGTTAATTTTGCCCCAGCTGTGCCTTGTTCCCCTAGTCTGTTCTAGTGTATTTAAACCCTGTGTTCTCCTCACTCCTGGTCCGTTCTCGTTGATGTATAGTGTGGTTACTGTTTCCCTGAATTATTTGATTAAATTCCTGTTGACCGGTTCTCCTTGTCTCCTTGTGCTTCCTGGGCACCACACTACCGTAACACAAAGCAATTAACAGTATGATTTAATCAGTGTAGGAAACTAACATCTGAAGCGAAGACCTAGATCTAGCATAATCTAGTGAGGTTAGAATGAATAACATGCATCTGTGCAGTATGTCTCTGCTAACAGCAAAGCAGCAAGTTAAAAAACTTAATTTATTCGGTCTTGCTTACTTGAGTGTCTACAGGTGACAGGAAGTGATTTAGAAGTCTATTTTAAAGTATTGGAAATCAAAATGTGTAAATAAAACTGTAAAAACTATGCACCGATATGAAAATGACCACTTAAAAGGGTTTGACTTATCCCGCTTTCTCAGGTTTGAGATTTCTCCAATTCTGAAAACCCAGAGTTTCCTTCATTTCGAGGTTAAGATACTTTTCACTTAACCTCATTTCTGAAACAGGCCTCTGCAGTGCTAAGATGGATTTAGTTTACAGATTTCCAGATAGTTTGAAGATTTCATTTGAATGGTAACAACAGCAATTTATTAATTCGGTTCCACTTTACTTTCAGGTCTCCTTGTGTATATTTATATATACATACATATAAATTCATCCAAAAATAATCTCTAATCAAATCATAAATAATCTTGTATTGCAGTACTACCTCTAGTGACCGGGGCATCCATGATTTCCTGGAGCCGTAGGGAGGAGGTTCTCTGCGAGTGGAGACCGAAGGAGTGGGTTGTGACCTCTGAACACGAGACCTCTCCTCCGCCTCTAACTGGTCCTGGGACAGTTGGGTGGGTTCAGGGAGAAAACTACAAAATTGAGAAAAGAAATAAATTAGGCAAGTGATGTTAACAGAAACTATTAAAACACCAGGTGATCCCTATTAATAGGATGTCAATTACAGCTGTATATGGATGGACGTTTACATCTTATTAACAGGGATCACCTGATGTAATAGTATGTGGGTTTATAAAACGGTTAGTTCGAATCCTTGATTCTGATCGGTCAAGAGCTGTGCTCAGGCATGTGATTGGCTAAGGACAAAAAAGCACGAAAATATACTGAGAGAACAAGCATGACAAAATGGGTCTGAATACGGGATGTGTCAAGTTTGTTTCACTAAAAGGTGCCTGATGTAAAAATGAACACCGGTGGGACTTGTGTGTGATCAGAGCGCAAAAAATAACGCAAAACTATGTACATTAAAATGGGATGTGTGCACTAGTTCTACCGGCCCATGAATGATTCAGGGCAAGTGTGTATAAAATGCATGTACCTCTTATCAGGGGCGACTCTGGAGATGTTCCTGTCGTGCTGCCTTTCTCTCCTCCTCTCGTGACGGATCTCATCACGCTCCCTGACTTCTGTCTCTTCACCACCTGAGAGAAAATCAAAGACATCCATGGTGATCTCACCAATAGTGACAGCACTCTGATGACTGAAACAAGGGCTGAGACCAAATCGTCTCCCTTTTCAATTTATCAATTAGAAAACACATTTAAAATAAATATGAACTTTAAACATAAAATGGATTTCAAACAGCGATAGTTAAAATATCAAATGTTTCTGAAAAATATCACAAATGCTGTGTATGATAACAAGTACAAGAGTAACACATTGACGTTCAATGATGGTGTGAACGTCTTCTTGTACTTTTGTCACCGTGGGATTTGATTCCAGCTCTCCAGTCTCTGGCCATCTTAGCCAACTTTCTCAGCTTCTCTTCTTTCTTTTCTTTTTCTTTCTGGGCCATCTTCTTTTCCACTTGAGCTCTCAACTCCACAGCCTCTCTGGCCTGTACACATCACACAACCAACAACATCAGCATAAAAATAAGTCAAAATATTTACCAGCTCTAGAAAGAACTTAATTATATTAAGGATTAGAATAAGGATATTAAGGATAAGGATTTATTTGCACTGTAGCGAGCATTCCCAACCAAAAATAAAGGTAGATCTATAAATGCTCTCCAAATTGATCAGAGGAGGCATGTTTTTTGTTTTAATACAGATGTCATCCTGAGTGTTACTCCCAGATAGTGCTTCACACATCATTTTGGCCTGAGAAACTGTGCTGTAATGTTGATATAGTGCTGAAGGTTTCTTTACTTCTTAAAAGTCAGAAAACTTAGCAATTTGGGAATTCAGAGTGTTCAGGGATGCAGGAATACACAGTCTACCTTTCTTTCTGCAATGTCCAAAGCATCCGCCAGCTTGGCAAAGTTCTCATTGATGTGGACGGTCTGCAGGCCTCGTCCGTCAGCTGCCAAACGCTTGTCCAGAGGAATGGTGTAACCCTGAGAAACAAAATGAGAGGTGAGAGAAAGCAACATGGTTGTATCCATAATCAATATTTTAAAACAACAGTAAACAGCTGAATAATAGATGGAGGCTTAGCGTTACCTTTGCGTTCTTCCAGTTGGAAATACAGGGTGGAATCTTCCACTCTTGCTGTTCTTTCACAGTTATCTACAAAAAAAAAAGAAAAAGAAAAAAAAAGAAATAGGCTTGAGTTTTATGCTTGAAATATTATGGTTAGTTGAGATGTTTCCTCCAGACAGGTTTCTGTGAGTGTAAACAAAGCCGACTATCAATGTTGGGATCGATAGTTTCCTACCTTTCTTCTTGGAGATTTCATGACTGGAGCAGGAGGGGATGGAGGCCCAGGAGGAAATTTCTTATTGAGTCTGTAAGAAAGCACAAACATTGAGTTTCTTGTGCATTTTCCACCCAATTTCACTCAAGTCTCAGGTTAAGGTCACATACTTGAATCGCGGTGGTTCCATTGGATCTTTCTGCATTTCCACCATACGGATGACCCTCTGTTTCGCTCCAGAGTTAAACGCAAGTCCTTGCTGGGAGGGTGTGTACCTTTAAGAAATATAAAAACAATTTATGGAACTTTTGTGAACCCAAACACAAACTCAATTACAAACTGTTATATGTTATAGTTATATGTTTATAGCAAAATTAGACCACATTTGTTGTTTTCTGTTTCAAAAACCTATCTTCATGCCATCATTCTGTCTACTTTGTCATATTGTTTACCTTTTTGGTCACTAACAACAGATGAGATTATTGAACCAGTATAATAGAGCTCATAAGATCCATGTCAGGCTCCCAGGCTGGACTCACCACTGTACTGCACTATCTTTGTGTAATGCCTTGTGATTTCAGAACTATAAAATAAGCCACGGGATAAACCTGTTTCATCAAATCTCAAATGGACACACTGTAACTGCTCTAACCGAACTGGTTCCGAGACTTAGCTCAAGGTCTGAGCGCACTACGAGATCTTTTATAAATGGACTTTTGCCTTTACCGGCTTTTAGAAACTGTTATGGACAGAGATTTTTTTTATGTGCTTACAAAAACCTGGAATGAGATCCCACAGCACATCAGAAATATCACATCAAAAATACTATTTAAAATAATATTTGCTCGCCATTTAATGGACAGGTATATCTGTGACCATTGAGACGGCTTTACACCCCCTCTTGTTGCCCAATATCTTGGTTTGTTTGTCTGTTGTTGTCTCTAGCTGTCTAGTGTGAGAGCTTTGCTGTGTATGTGGTTTTTATGTTCTGCAGAGCAGGAACCTGCTGAAAATCAGTTTTATACTGAGCCAGGCCCGATTATCCTAAATCTTTTCCTGTTTTAAAACTATAAATAAATAAATAAATAAACTCTCAGACTGACGTTAAAGGATTTTTTCAGGTTCAATATAAACTCTGTAGGGAGTATCTGTGGCATAACATAGATTACAAATTTAGACAGCTTTAATCGTTAAACAATAAATGGGTTTTTACTGAATAATTCATGCTTGTGCTAGAACAAAACTTCAAGCTGCACATTACACCTTTCAACACTGGCTTGCTTTACTTGATTTTAACCAAGGCACAAGGTTAAATCATTTTCTGGTCATCAACATCCTACTGTCGATATATCTCAACCCAGAACAATTATTTAAACTCTAGGTTTAAGAGCATTTGTCAGTGGAACTGGTCTTACCGAATATACTGTGCTGAGGCCTGTTTGTCTGCAGCACGTACATGCATGGCCGCTGCAATTTTCTGCGAGACCAGTTTATTCCGAGCTGCTCGGGCCTTTTCTGTAATCTACAGGAGGAGGAAACTGGAACGTTAATTCATGCTGGCTTGGCTCCATCATTATTGAAAGTCATGAGGATTACGTGAGAAAATTGACATTCAAAAATTACATGAAAGTCATGAGAACAGTACCAACATTGTTCATGCCATTTTAACACCAGCTAACAAAAAACACTCAAAGTTAGTAATCATGGACCAGCATTTATCCATTATACATTTCTGTGTAAATGAAGCGTAATAAACAGGTTTATTGACGCCATTGCTATACATTTCTTTTTGACATCCCCAGGTCTGCTTCTGTCGTCCGCTTACTCCAAAGAATGTATATACAAAGCTTACCTTATTTAAAAACATACATGTAGAACTTAATTAGAATTAATATGATGTTAATAATTTAAGCAAAGGATACAACAATCATTAGAATTCCATTTTTTGCTGGGATAGCGAAACAGATATTAACGATTATGAACTTCCACGGGTATGGTATTAACTACTGAAATGCTGTTATTGTCAAAACCCCATTTCGAATATTCATCGAATTTAAAATTAAAATCCACATTTGAATGCAAAAATGGTTATTCTAAACAATGCAGAAATAGAGAAGCTCAATGCAGAGTTTTCTGCGCTAATTTTCCATTGAGCGCTAGACAGACATCTTTGACAACTGCACTCCTGTCTTGCACTTTAACTTTTAAAACCCTTTTCTTCCCTGTTCCACCGAATCTCACGATTTAAAAGCAGAAGTACTTTGGATCTATCTATTGTAAAGTATGCATAAATACATAATGCTGCTTTGTTCATAATTTCTTATGCAGTTTTTGAAATTATATTTGATTTATAAATGTTAAAAAATGTTATAAAATTTGGTGCATTACAATTTTTCTCATTGCGTCCTCTTGTGGACACAGGAAACAAGCCAAAAGCGTTTCCCTTTAACTGAAATGATGCCTTTTAAATTCAAATATAATTTGATAATATATTTAATAATAAAAAGAAGAATTCATTACATTTATATAGCACTTTTCTCGGAACGCGCTTTACGTAGAAGGTCAAAGAATCAAATGTAGTTTTTCAGCTATTTTGACAGCCCTATTTCAGCCTGTAGTAAATATCTACAGTTAAACCTGTTCTCAGTCTCATATCTCACCGCTTTCACCGTCTCTTCACCTGGTTTCTGCAGCTCGGGATGATCTTCGTGAAGCATGTCTGTGTATTTGCTGAACACAACCTGAAACAAGAAAACAAAATAATGAAAAAGTCCTCTCCAGGTGTGATTCACTGAATACATAATTGAACAATTCAACAACACAAGAAGATGAAGCACCTTGTCTTTGTTTTGACCTTGCCTAGCAATGGCGTCATATTTGATCTTGCCCTCTGCATCCACCTGCACTGCCAGAGCATTGGACGTCCTTTTCTTCCTAACATGCATCTGTGCAGTATGTCTCTGCTAACAGCAAAGCAGCAAGTTAAAAAACTTATTCGGCCTTGCTGACTTGAGCGTCTAGGTGACAGGAAGTGCGTAACATAGGGACCACTTAACAGACATTTAGAAGTCTATTTTAAAAGTATTGGAAATCAAAATGTGTAAATAAAACTGTAAAAACTATGCACCGATATGAAAATGACCACTTAAAAGGGTTTGACTTATCCCGCTTTCTCAGGTTTGAGATTTCTCCAATTCTGAAAACCCAGAGTTTCCTTCATTTCGAGGTTAAGATACTTTTCACTTAACCTCATTTCTGAAACAGGCCTCAAGATGGATTTAGTTTACAGATTTCCAGATAGTTTGAAGATTTCATTTGAATGGTAACAACAGCAATTTATTAATTCGGTTCCACTTTACTTTCAGGTCTCCTTGTGTATATTTATATATACATACATATAAATTCATCCAAAAATAATCTCTAATCAAATCATAAATAATCTTGTATTGCAGTACCCATAGTGACCGGGGCATCCATGATTTGCCGGAGCCGTAGGGAGGAGGTTCTCTGCGAGTGGAGACCGAAGGAGTGGGTTGTGACCTCTGAACACGAGACCTCTCCTCCGCCTCGAACTGGTCCTGGGACAGTTGGGTGGGTTCAGGGAGAAAACTACAAAATTGAGAAAAGAAATAAATTAGGCAAGTGATGTTAACAGAAACTATTAAAACACCAGGTGATCCCTATTAATAGGATGTCAATTACAGCTGTATATGGATGGACGTTTACATCTTATTAACAGGGATCACCTGATGTAATAGTATGTGGGTTTATAAAACGGTTAGTTCGAATCCTTGATTCTGATCGGTCAAGAGCTGTGCTCAGGCATGTGATTGGCTGAGGACAAAAAAGCAGGAAAATATACTGAGAGACACCCCCCCCCCCACGCCAATCAAATTGGTGGTGGACATAGGTGGCGGATCTATATGGATAGTATGCAGGACCCATGACAACTTATTTTAACAAAAAAGTACATTTTTATTTATTTTACAGCCCATTTACAGATCATTTTTGTACAATGTAGCTAGGCAAGAAGCTGGCCCAAAGTTACCCAAGCATGAAAATGGGTCAGGGGTGAAAAAGGTGAGAAGGATATTACCCCTATAGGGGGGTCCGGGGGCATGCTCCCCGCAAGAAAATTTTAAATATTCCATATTTTAAAGCATCAATCTGATGAATTTTGATATGCATTTTTGCCAACCTGGGGAGAGCTGGAGAAACTTAACTTCAGCCATTAGTCAAAAATATTATGGCCTCCGTAGCTAATAATTTAATTTTCCACTGGAGCTTTAGCTAGCTGGCTAACATTGCGTTCTCTCTGTGTTCAACGACTCAATTCATCAAGCTAACGTATAGCTAAGCCTATGTCAACAGTGCTCCTGAATTAACTTAGATGCTACCAGAAAATATTAGGGATGTCCCGATAGAATTTTTGGTATCGGAATAGATCGTTCAGAAAAAATGGTGAGTATCGGCCGATACCGATACCAGCACAGTTAAAAAAAATAAAATAAAAAATAAAGTAGAATTTCTATAACTGTGTGTGTTGAACTGAGAATCTCTTGTTTGTGTGTTAAACACGATCTACTTAATACAGACAACTTCATTATAAAGAAAAACAACAAATCAAATATATATATATATATATATATATATATATATATATATGATCATAACGACTACAATTATTTTATAAACTAGATTAGTGGGTAACTCAGCAGTAAAATTTAGTCTAGAAAAATTTAGTCTAGAAAAAGTGCACAATAATTGTATAAAATCTGAACATTTAGTGAAAAAAATATCATTATTTAGTGGGAAACAAATAAAAGACAATAATTCTAGCACTAAATCTGGTAAAACATTACACATATATTTGCTCTTTGTATTGTTGTAAAATACATAGGCCTATATAGGCCTATATATGAAGAGTTCAGATGCAAAAGCCTCTAAGTGCCATTTGAAATTTTCTTCTAGAATGATCATTTTTATCAAGCTTGTATATTTAAGTTCAGTAATTTCACTTAAATGGCAATGATAATTACCTATTCATTGTTATTTAAGTGAAATTACTGAACTTAAATATACAAGTTTGATAAAAATCATCATTAAAGAAGAAAATTTCAAATGGCATTTAGAGGCTTTTGCATCTGAACTCTTCATATATTAGCTAGTAGGCCTATATTAGTCTACTCTAAAATTAAGACATTTTTTACATAGCACAGCTGTTTAATGAGGCAGCACCATCGATAGGACAGAACAAAAAAGGCTATTAATAATCTTTCATTGCGCAAAAGTATTATGATATGATTATGAAAGACTCCAATACAGAGCGGCACAAAGCGCTCATGCGCATCCACGCTTGAAGCCACACGGAGTCACAGCGCGCAGCTCTTCGAGTCCGCCGCATTGAAAGAGAAAGACATTTCGATGCATATTGACAGTATCTATCTGTGCAATAGTTTATTGAGCCTTTTCTTTTAACAGTTTTAAATTTTGCTGTGTGCGCGTGAGGAACAAGTGGGGGCTAACGTTAGTGTTGTGATCCAAAACTGACGCACGGTAGAAAAGAACATGATTAAGGTAACTTTACAGCAGTACAGGAAGATAGTCATTTTATGTGAAACCATAGAGCTTTATCTACAGATCAGGTATAATATTATTAAGATTGAATCATCTTGGAGAGAGTTTCATCGTTGATGACTGCCGTAACCGAACTGTTGAACGCTGAATGGAGAATAACTGACAGCCGCAACAGAGGGACTTGAACTTGAACTTGAAGGCCTATTAGTAGTAAAAAAATCTGTACGCACGTCAGCCAGATGTCCTCATAGTCATATCCTCTCCTTTTCACTCCGAAAGATCTTTTTTTTTTTTTTTTACACAGATCTGCAACACTGCGGTTCTTGTTTTTATTTGAGCAGCTCAAATAAAAACAACATAGAACCGAAAAAATAGTCCCTGAGACTATTTTTTATAGCGGAAGGACGGCTTTTAGTGATTTTTCTTCAAGAAAGTTGCACTAATACATAGTTTTTTACTTTAATATTGTGTGGCAACCGTTTTATAAAAGCAATAAGGTATGGCTATACTCGAGGCAAGTGCTGTATCGTGAGAAGGGGATACTCCGTTTCGCCTTACATATTCACGATACAGCACAGCCAGCCTCTCGTACCTTATTGCTTAGAAATGTTATTTATTTTGCTTTTGCTGTGGTCGTAGTATAGCTTCTTAGCACTCACTGATACAAAGAGGACAACACCGCAGGCCTCAGCGCACCTAATAACATAATTCCGTTAATAAAGAAGGCAAGGCAAGGCAAGTTTATTTAGCACATAATCATACACAGTGGCAATTCAAAGTGCTTTACATGGAAGAAATTAAAATAACCCAAAGAAATTAGAATAATTAAAACAGTTTAGAACAAAAAATAAAATGAAGTACAGGAATAGTCGGACGAACAGTGCACAGTGCTCATTCAGTAAATGCACAGCTAAACAGATGTGTTTTGAGTCTGGATTTGAATGTGACTACTGTAGGAGCACACCTGATCTCTTCTGGAAGCTGCATGGTTAAAAGCAGACTCTCCATGCTTAGAGTGAACCCTCGGTATTTCTAGCTGATGTGATCCTAATGATCTGAGCGATCTGTTGGGTTTATATTCAGTGAGCATATCTGCAATATATTGAGGTCCTAACCCATTAAATGATTTATATACCAGTAATAATACTTTAAAATCAATCCTAAATGTAACTGGCAGCCAGTGTTACAGTGCTACTTACCTTGACAGCGACATCTTGTCCGTTTCTGTGCTCACGTTCACAGAATCACTTTTTGAGTTTGCCCCAGTTTGAATCACGCCACTGAGATAACGTCTCGTATGGAAAGCGCATTATTCAATTTTAAATGTAATATGCAAAATGACAATGCAATAGCCGTAAAATGGCATTGCATTTTGCATTTAAATTTACATTTTACATTACCATTCTAGCAAGGTTTGGTGCAAAATGAAAATGAAATGACATAATTTACATTTGCTATTTTATACACTAGTTTTAATATGCATATTGAAACGCTTTATAAGTGGCAAAATTAAAATGAAAATGCATTACAGAAATGATTAGATATGTAAATTATGAGAATGGGTTGAGTTGCTAGAAATGGTAATGTAAAATGTAAATTTAAATAGAAAATGAAATGCCATTTTACATATTGCCATTTTGCATATTACATTTCAAATTGAATAATGCTACACATAAGCTTCCATAGTCTCGCGATGTTTGGAGACGAAAGCGAAGGGTAGGCTACTTTATTGAAAAACTGCATTTAAATAATGAATGAACGAAATACGAGACAGAGTTCTTTTTTAAATTCATAAAAAGAAACAAGGAAAAGCCTACTAGACAAAACCTCAAAGAAATGCCACAATCCAGACCTCGGAGTAGAAATGAGGGAGAAACACCCAGTAATTCTGTGTCTTTTCCTGCCAATAATGCTTGGATAACACACCATGTCTTCTTCCATAAATAATAATAATGTCTAGTGCGGTGGTTGTTATATAGCTAGCTAGCCTTCGTCCGTTGCCATTATTTGAATGACTTATCGCGAAAGGAAAAAAAAAAAAAATATATATATATATATATATATATATATATATATATATATATATATGTTTTAGTCGCATTAACATCGTTAATATTTTTTTTATTGTCATTCAGAAAGAAAAAGAAAAAACGCAAAAGTTTTGTGCAAATATTTATTGACGCCACTTAACTGAGCAAAAAGGTTTCACTCGGTTATGCAATTTTAAACGGTTAATCGGTTAACCGGTTAACCATGGACACCCCTAGAACCTGCATTTAAAGAAATGTATTTTAAATGTATTTTAAAAAGCATTTAAAATACTAAATAATATGTATAAGTTAATAATTGAATAACGGTGACAGTCAATGTGAATTTCCAGTAAAAGAGATTCATCTGAAAGATATTTACTCATAAAAGTAGGCCTATGTGAATATACTGTATAATATAATAGCCCATATTTTAATTGAAGATACATTAGCAACACGATAAATTCAAATGGAATGATTTAATTAAATTAGCTTTTCAATTAATAGCAAAGATGTTGAACTCATAGAATTAGGCCATTGAATATAATGCATGATTTACAATAAATATTAGATAAATTAACCTCAAAACAGTTTAATATTACAAATATTGTATCAGAATCAGAAAGAGCTTTATTGCCAGGTGTTTGCACACACAATATTTTTTTTTTTTTTTTTTTGTGGCAGAAGCTTCCAGTACTGAGAAAACAACAGTAGCCTATATAGTCAAATAAAAATAAAGATGTGAAAGTGAATAAGACACACATAGGGTGAATACTGGTAAAGTGGGACAAGGTTCTTAATTTCTATCTTTACAAATGATTCCATAACTAAAAATCAGCACTGAGCTCATCATCATCACTTATTCGGGGATATGGCACTCCACATTTAACAACCTAGCAGTGAACTGTGATGGTAAAGTACATAAAAATAAAAACTATATACATTTTTTTTTTAATGTGCTTTTGACACAGTCCAGTTTGTCAATAGCGTATTGTTAAACTGGGACAGGGTATTACTGGCTAACTGGCACAACCATTTAAGTCATTCTAATGGGGAAATTGAGTTCCCTTATTGTTAGCCCCTCATACATTTAGTTAGCTAGCTAGATATTTCAAAAGATTGTAAACTGCTTATAAAAAAAAACAATGGCAATTCAAATAATAATAATAATCATAATTTTTCATATTGTTATTGTGCATTTATTTCACTGTTTGAATAACAATTAAAAGGGTCACTCCACCCATTTGCATTAAGGTTTCCATTGTTAGAAACCATAGACTTAGAAAACCAGTTATACTATTGAATGGTCGTGCAACACTCTCCTATTTTCCCCTGAGACGAGAGAAATCTGATATTCAACCTTTTTCACTTCCTCCTACAATGAAGCAAAAATCTTAATTTTACGTCATTGTAAGAGGAAGTGTAAGAGAGGGGGATTTCTGTAAAGACTACAAGCACAAGATCTCATTCTTTCAAACCCGCCCATAGGGGGTTGTGTCACGGTTGGTAAATCCTATGTCTACTTCTCGTCTCGTGTTTCTGTTATTGTTGTGTGTGTGTGCGCTGATGGGGGGGCGTGCCGCTCTATCAGCGCTCATCAGCAATCATCATCACCAGCTGCAGTTAATCATCTTGTGTATATATTCTCATCAACTTCTCATCTCCTTTGTCAGATCGTTGTTTGTGGTTCCCGGTGTGTTGTCTCCTGTCTCGCTCAATCGTGTTCAGCTCTGGTTCTTGTTCTCTGTCGTTTGGATATTGTTCGTCGTTGGATTAACCACCACCATCACCACTGCACTCTGCACCTGATCATCGGATCCCCTGCGTCACTAACTCTTTGCCTGTTTATGGACTGTCTCTGTGTGTTCTTCATACTTCTAATTAAAAGAGTTTAACTGCAACTGCTTCCTTGATTATATCATGACAGAACGATCTGACCAAAGCATGGAAGCAGCAGAGGACTCTCAGCGATCTCTGAACGAGTTTGTGGGAAGCTGTCTACAACGTATGGACACACAGGAAAAGAACCTCAACGACACAGCTCGCGCTGTACAGGCGTTAGTGACGCAGGTGTCTGGGCTCACCCAACAGATTCAACACCTTCGTCTTCCCACTGCGCCACCCGCACCGCTGATTCCCCCACCACCACCACCAGCGGACCCATTCCAGTCAGAGCCCCGCCTTCCAACTCCAGAGCCATACGCAGGTGAAGAGAATTTTTGTCGAGCATTTCTGACCAGATGTACCATGCATTTCTCCCTGCAACCCAGGACGTTCCGCGAGGAGGCAACCAAAGTGGCGTTTGTCTTGACGCTTCTGACTGGGAGAGCGGCGCTATGGGGGGCAGCGGTGTGGGAAAGCCAAGACGACTGCTGTTCCTCGTTCCAGAAACTCTCCGATGAGATGCGGCGAGTGTTCGATCGGGCCGCATCAGGAAGAGAGGCTGCCAGGGTGTTGACGGAACTACGTCAGGGTGAGAGATCAGTATCAGACTTTTCCATCGAGTTCCGAACCCTGGCAGCCGAGAGCAAATGGAACGAGGAGGCGCAGTGGGACATGTTCCTGCATGGGTTGGCTGACCGCATCCAGAAGGAGATCTACGCCCTGGACCTGCCCACCAAGCTGAATGACCTCATCGCGCTGGCGTTAAGAGTGGATGCACGCCTGTCTCGAGTCAAGAGCCGAGGTCAACACGATCGTTTCTCTGGAGGCATCGAGGGGCAGCGTTCAGGAGGCGAGGGAGCGGTCAGCCCTACCTACGATCACGAGCCCATGCAGGCTTCCCGGGAGGAGAAGGAGAGGCGGAGATCCCTGGGCCTTTGTCTGTACTGTGGTGGAGCGGGACATTTGGCGTTTAATTGTCCGTTAAAAGGCCCAGCCCGACAGTAAGAATGAGGCTACTGTCGGGTGGGATCTCTGCCGAGAAGACCTCATCGACATCTACCTTCCTCCCGGTAAGGCTCCGATGGTCAACTCACCTCCACGATTGTCGAGCACTACTGGACTCTGGGGCGGAAGGTAATTTCATGGACCATTCATTTGCTAAGAAACCTATTATTCCCCTCAAACCCCTCTCACACCAGATTCATGTACACGCTCTCAACGGCCAAAGACTCCCCACTATCTCATGGATCACCGAAGACATCACCCTCATCACTTCAGGCAATCATTCAGAGACTATTTCCTTTTACATTCTGGACACTCCATTAGCCCCCATTGTTCTTGGTCACCCATGGCTCACCCGTCACAACCCCAAAATAGACTGGCAATTCAAATCAGTAGCATCATGGAGCAGTTTTTGTCATAAGTCTTGTCTTGTGTCTGCTTGTCCGTCTCTCTCTTCTCGTGTGTTACAGGAGGAAACAGTGGATTTATCAAACGTGCCCACGGAGTATCGGGAGCTGAAGGAAGTGTTCAGTAAGTCTCGGGCTGATTCTCTTCCTCCGCATCGTCCCTATGACTGTGCTATAGACTTATTGCCAGGTACGTCTCCGCCTAAGGGCAAATTATATTCACTCTCGGTCCCTGAGAGAGAGGTCATGGAGAAATACATTTCTGATTCTCTAGCAACGGGATTCATCCGCCCTTCCTCTTCTCCAGCGGGGGCGGGGTTCTTTTTTGTGGGGAAAAAGGATGGATCTTTGCGACCTTGTATTGATTACCGGGGGCTGAACAACATCACGGTGAAGAATACTTATCCTTTGCCGTTGATGTCTTCAGCTTTCGAGAGGTTGCAAGGAGCATCTATTTTCACAAAACTGGATTTAAGGAATGCTTATCATTTGGTCCGCATCAGGGAGGGGGATGAATGGAAGACTGCATTTAATACCCCTAGGGGGCACTTTGAATATTTGGTCATGCCTTTCGGCTTGTCCAATAGCCCAGCGGTCTTCCAGGCACTTGTCAATGACGTGTTGCGAGACATGGTCGATCAATTCATATATGTCTACCTGGATGACATATTGATTTTTTCTTCGTCTCTCCAGGAACATGTGCAACACGTTCGACAAGTGCTTCAGAGGTTGTTAGAGAATGGGCTTTTTGTCAAGGCGGAGAAATGCGTTTTTCATGCACAGTCTGTTCCCTTTCTAGGTCACATCATCTCGGTTGACGGAGTGCGCATGGATCCGACAAGGTTAAGGCTGTGGTGAATTGGCCAAGTCCAGATTCCGTAAGGCCCTACTGAGGTTTCTGGGGTTCGCCAATTTTTACCGGCGTTTTATTCGCAACTTCAGCCGCCTAGCCGCGCCTCTGACT